GTACAAAGTATGGCGTCATTTTAGGACCCCAGACCCCGTCCGCCATTTTGTTTGGTCCCGCACATGCAATCCGCATTGAGTTTAGACGATGTTTGTTTGAATACGTCAGGGAGCAGACTTTGGTGATGAAAGTTGGAGGGTGAAAATGGACGGCTGCTGTTCCGCTGGAGTTCGATGGTTCCCAATAAACAGCAGTTTGGTTTACAACATACATTTATCATCCTGTATTGGATGACTGAGCGGTGGAGCCAACGAAATAAAAATCGATTTGAAATGACCAATTGGAGATAGCTATCTTTCATCTTGGACTTGTCATATCTGAGCTAGCGACAGGGGGTCGCAGGGGTGAAATACAAAAGGATTTGTCTAAAGTTTTTTTTTTTAATGGTACGAAGTTCTCCTCATGTAATAAGAACTTGATTGAATTGAAGTATCATTTTTTGCTTTCAAATCTAAAGAACATTTGCTTAAAAGTTGATACCTTCCTTTTTTTTAAACGAATGCTCGTATAAAAAAAAAAATAATCTGCGATCATCACCACTACCACCACCACCACCACCACACCTCAATCGTCATCATTTTATCGTTTCTATTTCCATGAAATATGAATAGGCCTATGTGAATATGAGTTTATTTGGGCTGATAATAATTATCTTGCGAATGTATGTATAGTTTGACATTGTTCAATACTTCTCGTATCTCTCGCGGCCAGGCCTATGGCTGATGACCTTTGTTCATCACTATTCCTTTAATTTTTTCTCCCTTTTCTCCCTTTTTTGGTGGAATTGTCCTTTTCTTGATGGGTAACAGGGACATACCTTAATATCATTGACATTTTTGTACATTATAAATGATCATACAAGTTCGTAACTTATTAATGTAAAGTACTGTATTAGAAGAAGAAAAAATAGGAGAAACATTAACTATTCATCATTCAAATTAATGTATTTGTACGAATCATCTCTGTCCTGGCTTTCATAAGTCAGTGACCGTTTTTACTTCATTGATAACATTAAGTAATTACAAATCTTTAAAAAAAAAAGAAGAAGAAAATATCGGCTTCGACACATTGTACGATATTCATACAATCTGTCTCTTCGATCGTCTTTGGGTCTCCAAGAGAAAATAAATGATAAGGATCTGTCTTTTCGCAACCACTTAACGGCCGTTTCACATCCGCAGAAAAAAAAGGAACAAAAAAATTTAGCGAGTAGGATCTAAACATTCCTGCTAAAAAACACAACGAATAGTGTAACCTTTTACATGAGTGTTTGAGTGCAAACGATAGCCTACAAAAAGAAAACAATTGTCCAGTCCCACTTATTGAGATCCGAGTGGCTTTCAGAGCGTGCATGCCTTAACGGGTGTAAATAGAAAGGTAAGTAACAGACGGCAAGAAGACGGGGCACTTGTTCAATTTTGTTCATCAAACAGCGCGGGAAATCTGTCACTTGAAGTCCAATTTGTCAGAATGTTTGAAAGTCAATGAAAATGTTTGGCGTTTGTTGTCAGTTTCGCCTCATCTCAACGCCATCTTAACGTTCGATCCGTGTTCATCTTATGGACATATTAACAAGTTTCTTTTCCACGATCAGTTTAAATTGACGACGCTTTTTAATGTCTAGTGGAAGTTATTTCATGTTCCTGTTATTAAAAATGTAATATTTGATAAAGGGAGTGTCAAATTTAAAGGAAAACAAAATCTTAAATACAGTTCGACTTCCAGATCAAATGATTCGCTTATCTATTAAATATTACCGAGAAGGGGGGGGGGGGTGTTTACGATCAGGTGTAAAGTTCGGTACATGTACTTACTTCATATTTATTGTCAATCTTTTGCGCTAATCTAAGTTGCTTTGATAGCAGGGGGGCGTTGCAAGGGATGTCGGGCGAGGCCCCTCTTCAATTTGAATGTAAAAAATTGGGGTTTTTCCAGTATTGATGACATATATGTTTCTTTGTTTATTATTTGTTGTTGTTTGTTTGTTTTAAAACAAATGTAATCTCTCTGCAAATCAAAGTTATTCTGACCGATTTTTTTCCCCGCTGATATGACGGCAAACTGGAAATCCGCCCAAGACCATTTTTTTAAGAATAGAATTGAAAACACCTTCCACATATGTTATTTTCCTGTAGTGATGGTATTTTGTTTGTGTGTGTACATTAGATATTAGTGAAAAGATGTAAGTAACTGAATATGACATATTATTATTTAACTACGATTCTCCATACAAATTATTTAGTTTGCTTAATATTCAATATGTTGCCTATTTCATATAGTTTTATTTCTTTTAGTTCTGGAAGTTTGAATAGATTTCAAAAATGACTTGTAAATAACGAAGAAAAAAACTTGTATTAAATATTCATGAAAACGTCTGGGAGAGATTCTACCGGCCTACATCAACAGATAATATTTGTGACTTCATATGACCTTTAACATGTGATGATGGACCTGTTGTTAGCTTATGGCCGAAATCTTCCAAGATCCCTTTCATTCTTTTGAATATCTAACCCCAAAACACAAACAAATAATAACTCTTCGCAATACAAGATCAGATTATTGTCACATTTATACAATCAACTATTGTATCGATTTCATCAAACACTACGATTAAAAAGATGCAGTTATATGATATAATTAAAGCTTCGAAGAAAGTAGAAGCGGCCTTCATCACAGAATCGAGAAATAGAGTAAACAGTAAAAAGATGTAACCACGCAAGGTGTGACAACTTGATGCTACACAATAACCGCGACCTTCAATGACAATACATCATAACAGGAAAATAGAAAGAAGAAAAAAAACTCATCATAAAAACATTAATCATCATCCAAACCGCACCCCTACCCCATTAAAAACAGAAAAGAAACGGAAGCCACATCAAATCTCACCCCACCCTTCCAATCCCAAGTCGCATCTAACCCCACCCCTTCGAACCCCAAATCGCATCTAACCCCAAGTCGCATCTTACCCCACCCCTTCTAACCCCAAGTCGCATCTAACCCCACCCCTTCTAACCCCAACCCTTGCGCCCTTTGCTAACCTCATCGGGGATAAGCCATAGTAGGCGGGTAAGCGACAACTGTCACGATAGCGAGATGAAAAATATGATGATGGGGACCACACAGCGAGGAGGATTTCCGCAAGATTGCCAGCCCCCGATTGATTTTTCCCCTCTGCTCTTTTCGCCTATTTTCCGTGACAAATTGCCTCAAATCTAGTCCACTCCTGTTCTCGTTTTCCACGCTCTTGCCGTCGCGATGATGGGACATGACAGGCTGGTGACAACATCAGATAAGACTGAGTGAGGAGCGGAATGGAGGAGAGGTGGTAGAAAGAGGAAGGGTACAGTGGGAAAGGGGGTATGGTGGGAGAGGGGTACGGTGGAAAAGGAGTTTGTTGGGAAGGGGTGTGGTGGAAAGGGGTGTGTTAGGGAGAGGTACAGTCGGAAAAGGGTGTGGTGAGAGAGGGGTATGGTTGGAAAGCAGTTTGTTGGGAAGGGGTACGGTGGGAGAAGTGAGTAGGGGTGTAATGGAGGAGAGGGGCGGTGGTAGAAAGAGGAGGGGTACAGTGGGAAAGGGGGTATGGTGGGAGGGGGGTACGGTGGAAAAGGAGTTTGTTGGGAAGGGGTGTGGTGGAAAGGGGTGTGTTAGGGAGAGGTACAGTCGGAAAAGGGTGTGGTGAGAGAGGGGTATGGTTGGAAAGCAGTTTGTTGGGAAGGGGTACGGTGGGAGAGGGAGAAGTGAGTAGGGGTGTAATGGAGGAGAGGGGCGGTGGTAGAAAGAGGAGGGGTACAGTGGGAAAGGGGGTATGGTGGGAGGGGGGTACGGTGGAAAAGGAGTTTGTTGGGAAGGGGTGTGGTGGAAAGGGGTGTGTTAGGGAGAGGTACAGTCGGAAAAGGGTGTGGTGAGAGAGGGGTATGGTTGGAAAGCAGTTTGTTGGGAAGGGGTACGGTGGGAGAAGTGAGTAGGGGTGTAATGGAGGAGAGGGGCGGTGGTAGAAAGAGGAAGGGTACAGTGGGAAAGGGGGTATGGTGGGAGAGGGGTACGGTGGAAAAGGAGTTTGTTGGGAAGGGGTGTGGTGGAAAGGGGTGTGTTAGGGAGAGGTACAGTCGGAAAAGGGTGTGGTGAGAGAGGGGTATGGTTGGAAAGCAGTTTGTTGGGAAGGGGTACGGTGGGAGAAGTGAGTAGGGGTGTAATGGAGGAGAGGGGCGGTGGTAGAAAGAGGAGAGGTACAGTGGGAAAGGGGGTATGGTGGGAGGGGGGTACGGTGGAAAAAAGAGTTTGTTGGGAAGGAGGTATGGTGGAAAGTGGTGTGGTTGGGAGAGGTACAGTCGGAAAGGGGTGTGGTGAGAACAGGGTATAATGGTGGGAAAGCAGTTTGTTGGGAAGGGGTATGGTGAGAGAAGGGTGTAGGGTGTAATGGGGGAGGGGTATGGTGGGGAAGGGTACAATGGAAGAAGTGTGTTGTGTTGCGGGATGTGGAGTCAAGGGGTCTGTGGGGGCATGATTTTATTTACTTCTTTTAAAAAAAAATTGGGTGTAACACAAGATGTGTGGTATGGATATTTTAAGCATGACCTAAATGTCTCGTGTATACATTATATGAACAAAATATACTTCTCTAAGCCAAGAAGAAAATAAAATTGCACTACTTCAGAACATCCACAGATTCAAATGCATTATATGCCCATCTTATCTTAGTAAAAAAACACCTATGTCCCAGATCCAAGTAGACATGTCCAATTGCCATACCTGGGCTAGGAATGCAATTTATGTTTCCATTAAATCTACTTGCCCACTGCCATGAGTTGTAACACCCAGCAAGCCTCAAAATTACCTTCAAAATTGTCAAATCAATTATTATCAACACATAATTCTAATCCCCTTCCATTAATATTTAAATTATATGTATTTCCAATGTGTTTAATTTTTTTCACCACACGGACATTACACATATCTCATAAATTCGCATAATTAAACTCATTTAGAAAAAATATTTGCTTAAAACGCTTTCAATAATACCAAATTATCTTTATTTCATATATCACATAATAAACATAAAAATTAAACATAAAGTTCATTTAGGAAAAAATTTCACCAAATAATTCACAATTTACAACTGCAATTTCATGAGGTGCTTTGATTAGTCATACCATTAAAATGGAGTGTGTTTACGGATAGAAAGTTTTCATACATATATGTATGAAAAATAAAAAATTGTGGAAAAAAGCACAGTATCTCATTTTAGAAACGATTATAATACACCATACAGAGATATTTACCAATGACTGTCTTCTTAAGAATAAATAAAATAAATATATCATATGCTGCTCACCCAACTCCATTTCTGTCCACATAGGAGGTGGAAAATATAAAAAGGCATCTTAGAATATCCAATACTGTATCATTTTTATCTTAAAGTAAGTAAATTAATCCTCTTCTTTTCTTTCAACCTCATTTTCACATTTCTTCAGCACCAATTTTTTTCTTCTTCATGCAATCTCTGATTATGCAATATTTGTAATAAGTACATAGAATTAATGAGTTGTGTGATCCATTTATTTAATTGATTCTACCAACGCTGAAAAAAAGGATATTTGATAGTGGAACGATACCAATGCCAGAACTAAACTAAACTAAACTAATGAGTACTGCATCATGATAATATCAATACTATCAATGATATCTTGAAATATACATACATCTATTGCGCAATTCCTTAAGAAAAGAAGATTCTTCTCAATTTGACACAAGGAAGTTATAAGATCATGAATGCAATATTAAGCATTTATATTTTTTGCACAAACTTTCAGCCGCAATACATTTCATTTTGTCTACTTAGCCACTTTTCTATCGCCATGGAATGTTGAACATAAATAAGACTGTAATGATGGAAATATTCTTGGGCGAAACAGAAGTTATCTACACAGGAATAAAACTTGGCACACACTTAAGTTCTTCTAGGAACATCTTGATTTACTCGAAATTTTTGGAAGCAGTGATGTATCTACCCCTACACGTTAATTAACATTTCATAAAATCATTTTATTTACAGCTGTAGACGAGCTAGCAATATGATCAAAGCACTCTATCTTGTTTGTTATAATGATGTCTAATATGAAGGCATTTTTTTATGAAAGACATAATTGCGGTAATAACCGACTCTCTATACAAGATTTTGGTATGCCATAGAGAAGACCACTCAAGATAACATTCTAAATTGACATGACAACAAGATGAATGTGGGGAAGTAATTGATGTAACCGCGAAACAATAAACAATGAAGTAATACACAATTAATAATAAGAAGAAAGGTGAAACATTTTCCTTTGAATGAAAATCTTAAAAGTAAAGGTTCTCTGACAGCACACATGCCTTGATATCCTTGGAAGGAAGCTTAAATCATTTCAAATGTGTTTCAGTGCATTTTAGTAGAACTATGGACAGTATACACTGGACTTGTGGCTTAAGCACTGATTAATTTTACACATGATGTATTGGTTACAACTTTAAATACATTGGCACAATGATGTGTTAATTGAATTTCATGATTCTCCACACAAAAAGTATCAGTAATAGAGCTATCAACAAAAAAGAATACCGTAGCTGGTATCCATCTGCAATACAACAAAAAATCAAGCTTACATTTTCTTCAGAACCAAAGAGATGAAAAAGAAAAAAAAATGAACAATAGCAAAAAAAGTTTGTCGAGTTGTGATTTAAATTAAACAGATAATACAATGCAGCATACTAGGAGTGATCTTTAGAACACTTTAAAATATCAACCACATTTTAGACACTTGAGTTTGTTTTTAAAACATGAATATTGCGTATATTAATGCTGATGTTGTTCTTTAGTTTGAGTTTGAGTTTATTGATCCATCTGGTCAGTTTCCTCTGCGCCCCATTTCATAAAACTTGTCACCAGTTACAAATTACAGTGTTTCTTATAAGCTAGTGAAATCCTTGCTTCTGATTGGTTATCAGCAGATTTGTCACTGATTGTCGTCATTTGTCATCGAAAAAAGGCTTTGTGAGAAGGGTCCCTAGTGGTCTTCAGCAGGCTAAGCCGTAGGATTCTTCTTCATGACATTAATGTCACTCTCAACCATTTCCTTCACAAGTTCCTGAAAACAGAGATTGGATGAGAGATAGAACATGAAATTGAATAGTAATTACTTTTCATGCTTGGTCAAAAATGAAAGCCTCGAGTATGCAGTTGTCATTTCATTCAGATGTTTGAAAATAAAATTCTGTCTATAGACTAATTGTGCATTATAAATATTCTTAAAATACAGTCATGTCCTTTTGTGTGGAAAGACCACCTGTGTGTAAAGACAAATATCTTTGTTTCCCTTGAAACATGTGTTAAAGTAAACCTGTCTAGAAAGACCATCTGTCATTCAAGACTGCTTTCTGTGTCTCCCCCAGGGCGGTCTTTCTATACAGGTTTGACTGTAGATCTACCACTTGTATCATGGGGTACACATGGGGTTCATATACTTACATCAAAAGAACACTTGGGTTTCCATCCCAGAAGTTTCTCTGCCTTTGATGGATCTCCTTGTAAATATTCCTACAGAAAAAGAGAAGAAAAAAGAAACAAAAAATCAAAATTAAGCATTTTCTCTTTAAAAAAAAAAGGATTTTCTTTTAAAAATGAAGCATTTTTCTCTTCAAAATGTGGACAACTCAACAGGATTTTATCACTGCACACTCACTCAGCATGTTTGACTCTCAATCTTTGTCCGCCAGAGACATGTGGCAAGACATTATATCCACATTTGCCACTCCAGACCCAGGAGAGGTATGGGGATGCGAGAGGACAATGTGCATGGGTGCATGTGAATAGTGTAGATGCAGTAGAAATACCCCAACTGGAGTGGAGATGGTGCAATTGAATACCGGTACAGTATAGTCATAAATGTATCTTTACACAAAACATTAAATAAATATCAGAGTCAATAAATAAGTTTTTTTTGTTGTCACTTATTCATCTTTTTTCTTTTCTTTTCTTTTTACAGGGGGAATGCAATTTCTCTTGTGTTCTTGTAGAGTCAGCTTGTAACATGTGCAGTAGCCTTCAATATTTCTAAATTCAATTCATATATCATATTCCAATCCATTTCCCTACAATCATTGGTTGATCTTTCCAAAGTTAATATCTTCCGTACGCTTGTTCTTCAGTTTCATCATGCTTTTTCATCATTTTTCTCTCGGCCTTTTCATTAAAGCTAATGTTGATCAAGAAGAGTCCATGACTACCCAATAGCTTTACCTGAACAAATATAGCTGCCTTCTTTTTCCTTATGTAACATAACGGATGTGTGTGTAAATATATGGGCCAGTGTTGTTGCATTTTTAAAAATAAAGAAAAATAAAAAAGGATATTTTTATCACTTGAAGAAGGTGGAATTTTCTTTGACTTTTAGCGCCCGCGGAACCTTCAAGCGACAACTTCACTTGTTGTCTAAACAGTCTGGTCTTTGAGAGACCTTCCCTTGCATTGAACACTAACAAAGGGAGACAAAACACACAATTATTGTTTGGAGTGTAATTGGGGCGACCAGAAAGGCAAGTTGGGCATCGCCTGCGCTATAGCAGCAGCGATCACGGCCGTCTGAAATACAATAATATTTGAATAGAAGAAAGTCAAATCTGATCTGAATGGCGAGGTGTCAAGTGGGTAGTATATAGGTGAGGGAGTGACAATACCTCCTACTTCATATGTTCTCTTATTGACCTAGAGAAGTGACGAGGCATGGGCAATTTGGTGAATTTGTTATCGCAGAACGAGTGAAATAAATATACACCAGGTATACCGAGGACATGGTATGTCCTTTCTTGGAGGAAAATAGAAAAAAGCAGCTATAAATGAAAATGGACTTTGATACACCCAGATTCTAAAAGTTAGAAGTTTAATTTTGCAGGTTTTGTTTAAATCTTTCCATCCCCTCCCTCAATCATGGACTCTCCAACAATCAACTCATTTTTTCTCTGTCTACATCTCTCCCACTCTCTCTCTCTCTCTCTCTCTCTCTCTCTCTCTCATTTTACCATCTTTTTCTATCTCTATCTTTATCTCTTTGTCTCTATGTCTCTCTTATATTCTCGCTCTGTCCTAGCTTGAACTTTTGATAGACAAGTTAAAGAATGGTTATGACTGGTCACTGCGAGGAACAGACTATCCTGGGCCCCATTTCAGCAAAACTTGTCATCAGTGACAAATAACAGTTTTCGTTATAAGCAACTGAAATCCTTGCTTCTGATTGGTTATCAGCAGATTTGTCACTGATTTTTGTCATTTGTCATTGGAAAAATGGCTTTGTGAAATAGGTCCCTGGTCTGGAGGAGAGCCCTCACACAGCAGGAGGAGAAATTTCATAACTACAGGTAATTCAGGCTTTTGGAATGTTGAGAGATATTGACTAGAAACATCTTACAGGAGCTTGAACTTAGTTTTTGAACTTACAGAAAACATATGCATAAGTATATGAAAATCTACAGATCTTCCCACCCCCCCCCCCCCCCCAACAACAAAAAATAGTAAGAAAGAAAAAAGGCAATAATAATTTCAAACTATAAAGAAGGAAAGAAAAAAGATCAGATGGCACCAAACTCAGTATTACAATGTAATCTGTCAAAATAAATTATGTATGAACAATGATTTGGAGAAAAGGAATTCCTATTACAATATCATTCAGTGCTGTCACTTTTGACTGACTCTGGTCAATGGCAAAATGTTTCCCATCACTTTCTTGCAGTAACCGATACGTTTGATCCTGGTTTAAATAACCTGTCCTGCCAATTAGTCATGTCAAGTTTCAAACTCAAGTAGCACCTTCTCAACAAGGACAAGAAAACAGTATGCATGGGACTGAGGCAAACCACACAATCTTTGAAGGGAACCCATGTATTAAACAGATCTAGTAACTCATCTTGACAGATTCTCAACTCGGAGAATCAGATGATCAAACAAGGCGATTATCACAATATTTTCCCACTCGGTGGGTAGCGAGTGGATGCCATGCCTGGTCTTTCCCACTCTAGTGAGGGAGTGCTTCACAAAAGGCAACTTGAAGTGACAGGAAAGGTACCATTGAGGAGAAAGAGGATTCTTAAGGCCAGTGGAGTTCTTTATAAAGATTTAGATATCGGATCTAAACTGAATGTAAGATTTCAATACCTCATCTAAACTGAAAAAAAGATCTCAATATCTTTTCTAAACTGAAAGAAGAACAAAATGCTGTAAAAAGCAAGAGACACTCAGAGACACTTATAGGGGAAAGTCGATAAAGGGCTTTATTGTAAAGATTTTGGACTAACTAACTGGTAGTTCATATACCATTTACCTGCATTTGACTTTGATGTTTAGACATGACTTAACAAGCTTATGACTCTCAAGTAATGATGTATGGAATTGGACTGTATTTGTATGCAGAAAGATAACTCTAAAGGCCTCTTCATGGATGTAAAGACAGTTAAGACGCTACTGCGATAATGGCACCCATCTACATGGATACAAAAATGATTTTGTTAGGTTGGGGTGTTCTCAAATTATATTTCATTACCGTACTGTACTCCCTACCTAGCAACATAAATCGTTATAAATTAAAAGAAATTAGCACAAAACCAGGCAATTGATTACTTCAAAATTGTACCGGTAAGTTTATCTTCTCCATACTGATCTAAAACTCCAAACGTATTTGGATAAATTCATCCATATATACAGAGGGCAATACCCACTTGTTTCTGCCTGCACCGCTTTGGCACTAATGAGGCACCCCTCAAATGACTGAGAACTATCACTTCTCTAAAAACAGGGGGATGCGCTCTTAAAGTTGATCTTGAAGCTGCAGGAGTGACAAAGGGGGGCCAATTTGTTGTGAAAATATGAGGACTTCTAAACTGACAAATGAGCCAAGCAAATATGGCACGCTGATAATCAAAACAGTATGATGAGAGCCTAGGGGAGAGACCGCAGTGCACTAAGGGGTCCCATTCCTGCAATCCTGATTGCATGATGCTGGAGAATATCTGCGAAAAGTTTGGAGGGGTTTCCATTTTGTTTGAATCTCCCCTGGGAGCCTCTTAGTGGAATATTTCAATGGATCATAGGACAGAATCCCAAAGATGTATAAGGGCTTTGTTCTTCTTCAAAAATGTGTGAAAACTGGAGGTCTTTGCCACTTTACTGGTCAATACACCAAGTTCAAATACCGTAACTTCCCTTGTCTGCTCAGAGTCATCCTTCTTGCGCCAGACATTAAAGGTATAGACCAGTTTTGGAAACGCTCCCTCTCAAAAACATGAAATGAAAGCTCTTATTACCAATGTGAAAGAATATGTTTTGACTAATACGTGATGATACAAATTTTGCCGGGAAACCGCCTGCTAATTGATATATTTGGTAAATTATCATATCTATCCGGCCTGGATAGATATAGGGTAGTCGGATTACATAATCATATTTCTATTAAACTCCTATCCATAAACTACAGGTAAACAGACAAATAACGTTAACAACTTTCAGTGCGTGTGTGTGTGTGTACACCTGAGTAAATTAGCTCCATGACTCATACAAAAGGAATGTCCCAACACCTCTCCTATTCTATCCTGTCTATTTGAATTTAATTTCTGCGGACAAAAAAAAGAAAAATCCCCTTTAGCTTGAAGCAGTAGGACTGCTCTTTTGTAGGCACCGATACCAAACCTTAGAAGGGTGGTGGTGGTGGTGGTGACTCATAGCTTCTGTGAGATACCTCATCTTTGCTCTTAAAATGCAAAGCTTTTATCATCTACTTCTTTGCAAATAGAGAGCTCACTACAGGCCTTGAAGATCACAAACTTTGGAAACTGAGTGTGAAAGAGTATGTACCTAACAACAACTAATTATTTTGTACAATGTAGGACCACAATACATGAGCTACATGTATTTATTTTCTGTTTGATTCTTAGTTTTTAACATGGGAGATTATTTGTATGCATTTTGAGTGCATTTTTGACAAATATTAAAAATAAAAAGCAACTGTAATCAACGAAAATCACATAGTTCAAATAGATCAGGTGTGGGATGGAATGTCTGTGGACATGGTTCCTTTCCAAGTCAGCCTATACACCAGTGTCTCTGGAATTATTGTGTTCTATTATTAACTCCTTTGTACATCGATGAAAGTGCCAAAATGATGAGGATGAGGATGAGGAAGACGATAATGTTTTGATTTCCATCATCATCAGACAATTATCTTTGAAGATACCAGGTTGCCAATGGTTAGTCATCACAATAATAACAACACGGAAGAGTCACCCCCCCTCACTCTTAGGTCTTTAGGAGAAGGGGAAGAGGCACACTTCACAGGTTTTTGTTTGATGTTGTTAGGTCTTGAGCCCCCATCTTCACATACCAAGGGTAACAATGGTCATACAAGACCCAATTATTGGATCAGTGTACCCCCAACAAGTGGCAAACACCTCTCCCTTGAAAACTCTACAAACAATGAGCTAGGTTCACACAACTACAAACATTGAGCTGGGTTCACACGGGAATCTGGAAAGTTTAACTTTAAGCTCATGGTT